TTTTATTGTGAATATCTTTCCTTTAGTTTTGTATTATTATTCGATCTCTAAGGATAATGGAAAATTATTTAAAATTGATGGATTTATTTATTGATATTGATTTATTTTTTACCAGTTATTCTTTATTTAACAATTTTTCTTCGGGTGTACCATTTGATTAGTGTATTATAAAGCAAACAAGAGGAATAAATCGTGATAACGTCTCAATTCGGCGTTTGGCTCGCTTATTAGAGCGTCCAAAACATTGTTCATTTCTTTTTTTATATTTTGCCATAAAGCAAATATCTAACTTCGAGTGTTAATTTATCAAAGACGTATCAAAAAAAGGTGTGTTTATACAAAAAAACTATATTTTTTAAAGAACATGCATATGGCGGGGAGTGAATGAATTTCACAATATTTCTCCGGCAGATAATCATGCCAAGAAGGTCTCAATTAAATGGAATTTTGAATGCTCGGCATGATCGGGTCGTAAATCACTTTACGAAAATCCAAAGCGGAGTGGGACAGGATAGTGACTGTGACTAGGACAGCGGCGAAATCCTTGAGGCGACTGGCCTCGCATACCAAAAAACTTTAGCCACAAAAAACGCAGTTCAAATGCAAAGGATTCAGAGCGTTCTTTGAACATGCACGACGACTTTTCGACTTTGTTTGGGAATCGCTTAAGCCCGCCAGGAGGCGGGGATGTCAGAAGGAGGCTTCCATATACACAAACACACACACACATGGAGAACATAGGAAGGACCAACAAGTACGTGCAGCCAAACAGATTTCCAGTTAGCAGCTCACAACAATTCGCTTTTAAGCCAGCGCATAAATCAACCTCAAATCAATATCCCCCAATATCCGACCGCCCACCCTCCGGTTCTAGAGAGAGGAAAAGTTTTTTTTTTTCGGGCCGCGGCGTTTTATTGAAAGGATAATCGATTGCAGCAACTGCTGGCAGCGCATTAAAGGATTTCACTTTGGGCTAACTTTAAAACGCAACCTCAGAAGATGTCGACGAACTGAGAATGATGTGAAATGCGGCTCTTTGCGGTCAATTTAATTGAATGATGAATTGCTGAGGACACTTGGGAGGATGGGGGGCGTTTGCCGCAGAAATTTCTTCAGTTGTCACGGGTACTTGTTATAAAGGATACTCAGCAAGGGGCTGGGGTACAGGGACATGGGGCATGGGTCCTTCGGCCGGGACAGTGGGTGGTTAAAGGCGTCCCTATTCGACGACAAAGACGAATACGCATAATCAGTCAAAATTTATGACAAGCTCGAACCCGAAAGCCAGCTTAACCATTTAATTGGCCCAGGTCCAGTTGTCAGTCCCTCAGGACGGCCCTAATTAGCATGGGCATATGCGGGTTGGCGACCATTTTTTGTCGACACTTTCCTATGTGGTCCCGGGACCCAAAAAGATTTTTACTGTCCTCCGGCTCTGACTGATGACTGCTGGAGAACTCGGTGGTAATTTGTCTAGGCCAAAAAGGAAGGCTTCTGGTCTTCTGGCCATCTTGACTGACAGGAAGTTTTCATCCTCCAGGCTCCTTCCTTTTCCCTTTGTGTCTGTCTTCAGCTCGATTTGCACTGCAAGAGGCCCATAAAAGATAGCCAAATAAAACAAAAAAAAAGAACTTGGCGTAAACCCGAAAATGTTGCGCTTAGTGCAGTTTCGTGTAACGCATTATTCTTGCTTAACATTTGCCAGCTTCCGACTTTTTTCATTGTTTGGTTAGATGTTTCTTTTTGTGAGCGATTCAAGCAGCTGTAAGTTCCTTCCTTAAATCAGTCGCCATATCTTCAGCTCATCCAGATACTTTCAAGAAAACATAAACGATTTTCAGTACTTGAAAATAAATTAATGAATCAATTAAGCCAATCAGGATGCCATTTAAATACTTTTCTGGACAGAATTGTCCTCTCGATAGTCCTTATTCTAACAAGAACGTGCCTTCCTATATAGTACAAGATTATGCTTTCCTGATGTTACATTTATTTATAAATTCTGAAAAAAAAGTCACGTCTTTCATTTTCTAATATAAATTGAAATAAAAAAAAATATAATTAAATGAATATAAGACAAAAACAATAATAATAATAATAATAACCTGCTTCTGTAAATGTCTAAGCAGTGCATAAACTGCTTGCTAAATGTTTCCTACATTTCATCATGCAGCGCCATCTGTTGGTAAAATATTGTGTAAGGTTTGGGTCTAAATAAAATAAAATGTCAACAAACTTTCAAAGTTTTATCGACAAACGAAACATTAAATATTGTACATAGTGTTTTTTAATATATGGGAAAGGTTAAGCATTTGAACCACAGCGAAAGTCAAAGCTTTGCCAATATTCATCAGATTCTTAAGCGGAATACCTTAATCGATTTGTGGATCGATTCTCCACAAATCTGCATCAAAATCTACATGCAACATTTTTTTCAGATTTTTTTTCAAATTTCCTAGGGGGTCCCCTTAAAAATGAGAAAATGCACGGGGTGGAGTATAGGGGCTACTGGGAAGGCCATAGCTTTGCCAATATTTATCAGATTTTTAAGCGGAATACCTTAATCGATAGATAGATTGTAGATCGATTCTCCACCAATCTGCTTCAGAGTCAAAATATTTTAGAAAAATAATAATTTGAAAAAGTTTTTTCTGATTTAAAATTAGGGAACATGTGTCTTTACCAATACTAATGTAAGAGTAAATGCGACTTTTTTAAATCCCCAAAATCAAAATCAATTTAATGTAACCCTTAGAGTAAAGATCGTCCTGAGCGATCAATTGTGAACTAAATTAGCTAACGAGCGATCGGAATCGCCAGATTTGAGTTAAAAAATCATCCCCGACCGCTTTTCAACCCTGGAGGCGTTGCTGTTTTTCCTCTTCGGTTCCAAGTGCAATGATACTATTATTTAATGGATCGGCCTTTCAGGAACCTCTTGTACATACCCTCTTGAAAGGGAAGTGCTCTCGCTCAAGGAAGAGTCTTTCAGGATATCGCAAGGACATTGGAAAACATGAAAGGCAAGTAGCAAAAATTGTAAACAAGCAAAACACGTCAACGCCCCTAAGCTGCTAATGAGGGCGAATGCGTCTGAATGCTGTGAAAACACGCACACACTCACATGGCCAGGACAAAGGACGCATGCTGAGATAAGGATCAGGATCACATTAGCAGGCAGCTGAGGAGCAGAGAGCGACAAAGAGAGGAAGCCCGGTATGGAGAGTGAAAGGATCGTGTACGAATACAGTAGCAAACATGGTCGCAAAACGATCTTGAAGAAAGAATTTGCGGTTGCACACAATTCCTGGGTATTCCTTTGGCGGAAACGACGTTGTTCATTTAACAATCGCACTCCAGCGATAATCCTGGCCCATGGAAGGTATTTGGCCTAATTCGCTGCCTGCGAGAGAACGGGACAAAAGCATAAGCGGATTGGCCAAACACAGTTGAGTGGCCTCTTTACCTCTTCCTGATCCTTCGCTTCGGGCTTGGGCTCAGGCTCAGGCCGGTGTTTGATGTCCTGCGGCGCATATTAACATTATCAGCTGGTTCGGAAGAGATGCTCCGGGTCACAGAGGCGAACCAAATCCCGGTAGACAATGTTATCGGAGCCCGGTAATTGTCGCGTCCCTGTCCTGGCATTCGAATAATGTGTGAAAATTTACACCAAACGCAGGAACTCCTGCTGCGCTCAACTACCAGGACCTAATACTCTCTTTGGCGTAATCGGTAAATGTGGTTAAGTAATTTAAGAGGATACTACTGAGCCTCACAGCAGCAGCCAGCGAATCAATCAAATTCAAAGTGAGACTGCGATTGAGACAAACTTAGTTGCCATTATCCTGGACAAGGATGCTGTGGCACTGCAACAGCATTCCGAGCAGAAACGGAAGCGGAAATTCCTTTTGCATTTCATGTCAATGTCGCAGTTGCAATCGATGGAATTTCATGGAATTTTTTATCCATTTATGAAGTTAAGGATGGACTTTAAAGAAGCCCTTAAAGGGAAGACAAATTTCTTTAAGAGGAATAAGTCATTTTCTAGGTCAAAAGTACCTTGTCTTGTAGGTATTTACCAGAACTTGCAACCAAGACAAACATCTAACAACAAGCCACCCCCAAAACAGACTCCCCCCTAGAATCTGTAGCCTCAATTAACCCTAAGCGACCATAAAAATCGAGTCATTCGGTCATAAATGAAAACAAATGCCTCGGGGCATGGTAACTCAAAAATGGTTATGATTGTTATTTCTTTACTTTGTTATTCTGGCACCCTCTGGCCTCTAACAGGCACTCCTAACGATGTTAGTGTTTCCGTTTATGCCACATGCTTACCCATCAATTTGCGTGCAACTCACATGGCCCCGGGCCACTCGGGGCACGGACAATTTGTAACATTTGGCAGACGTCAACGCCCTGCACAAGTGCAGGAAAATGAAATCAAATCAAAGCCAAGCGGATTGATCAGAAAAATGTCATAATTGAATCGCAGTGGGTACTCGCCCTCGCCGTTAAGGGGGCGTTCCTGCCTCTTGGTGACTTTATGCTAATCAGAGATGGCCGAAATGTCTCAAATTTCACGAGTCAGGAGTCGACCTCGGAGTTGTAGCCCGGATAGGGGATTACAAAAGGTGCCAGGATGCTGGAAATAATTTCCGCTCCTAGGACTAGCTCATTTCGACTATTTTCCAGATACAAAACTAATTAATTTCCCAAAATGCAACAGAGAATGGTTAGGGAGCCGGTGGGAGCCGGAGGGAGCTGCGCGGGAGCGTCACAGGATATTTGTGCAAGCAATTTCCGCTCCCGAAGAGAGAGTTTGTGCGTAATTAATTTATGCAAAATACAAATGCAAACAAATTGCAAATGTTTTCGCACAAAATTGCTGCGCACCCAATTTGTTTTTGAAAATAATTAACTTTTCAGCGGGTTTAATTAGAAATTTTCTCAACCGACCCGGAAGGCCAGTGCTTTCCTGTCGCCCTATCTGGCTCCCAAGTAGACTGGATTCAGTGTCGAACATTATTTTATCTCAACTGGAGCAGAGATGTCTATATTCAGTGGTTGCTTCAAGTGCAATATTTTAAAATGGTTCGAGTGCTGGAAGGACTTCTTTGCTATCCAACTCATGGATAGTTCGGCGTTCAAGTGGTTTCTGGCCTTTGCTGTGGCCCTGTTGTTCCTCTTCAATGTACACTCGGCCGTCACCATGTGCGATGTCGGTAATCAAGTTCCACAAAGGCCGAACGAAAACGTCAATGAGGAGGAGGAGCAGGAACTCGATCGTGGCAATGGTCCCAGGGAAAGAAATCAAGCCGAAATCGGTGCAGGAGATGCCGGTCAAGACAGGTCAAACTATCAGGAATTGGTGGCATGCACCGCTTACGGGGTACCCAATGGCTTCGACTATGGCATGGAGAGGGGGCCACACACTTGGAACACACCGTGCAACAACCAAAGTCCCATCAACATCGACACTGACTGCCTGGCAACCACCTACTTTGATTGCGTCATGGAGTGGCGCCACTATGACGACATTCCTATGGGCATTCGAATAGAAAACGATGGCCACACCCTATTCCTGCGCGCCGCCTTTCGAGAAGAGAATCCCTACATCGGTGGCGCCGACTTATTGGGTCGCTTCGAGTTCCGGGAGATACGATTCCGCTGGAGTTGGTACAACTCCTCCGGGTCAGAACACACTATTGACAACCATCACTATCCCCTGGAGATGCAGTGCCTCCACGTAGACGACGGAAGCGGCCGATGCACCTCCAGTCAAGGTATCCTGATGATCTCGTACATGTTCGAACTCAGCGAGGACAATCCTCTGCTGGACGTGCTCATCCAACACCTCGTGGCGGTGCAGAGTGCTGGCCAGGCCGTGGAGGTTCCTCCCTTCCCGCTCAGCTACCTGATGTTGCCCTTCTTTTCCCGGTTCTACAGCTACCATGGATCATTGACGGAGCCGCCCTGCCACCGTGGAGCGGAGTGGATGATCTTCCCCCTGCCCTTGGCCATCGGGGAGCGCCAACTTAACGAGTTCCGTCAGCTGAAGGACCGCAGGGGTGTCCGGATTGCAGGCAATTCTCGTCCTGTTCAGCCACTCGCTAATCGATCGGTCTTCTTAAATCGCTACACAGCCGATCGTTAATTATTCAATAAATGTATGAACTCCCATCAGCCTTTGGAGTGCAAAGCAAGCATAAATCAGATTTATCTCATTGAGCTAATCCATTGGATTTAGTTCACCCTTTGATTGGGAGTTCCAGGACCCCATTAGCTTCCAAGCCGATACTAATTGGCTGCCTGGTTGGCTGGTTCGGACTTGGTCCTGCAATGTCTTCCGCACAATTTCCTGGAGGTTGCCGTTTGCCGGCCAAATAGTTTGCTTATATAGTAATCCACTAATTAGACGCTCAAAGAGCATTAGCATTAGCATTAGCCAGAGCCAGGCATGTCGGAGCAGAACGAGGTCCTGAGCCTGTTCGTCTACCAATGCGTTTAGTCGCCGCAGGATATGGCGTATGCGTGTGTGTGCGTCAGTCTGCGTTTGTAATTTCGTTAGTGCAGCGGAAACTGTTGCGGACATGTTTGCCCTGGCCGGGGATACAGATTGAGATTGGCAACGGGAATGGGAATTGGAATGGGATTGGGTTTGGGTTTTTGGGCATTGGGCCGGCCTCCTGCGGCGACGCACCCTCATCTCCTGTCCCTTACCATGCACCCGTGCCACCCTCCCCCGTCGCTGGCTCGTAGCTACATCTGCTCCTGCCGCTCGGCAATCAGAGTACCAGTTTCCAGGCCTATAATTATCAGTTGGCGCCTAACCATAGATGAACATTTTCCACCGCACAGGGTCATTGGATCGTAATTAGTTTTTATTTTACTGTTGGGGGCGATTGGATCGCAGGACTGCACACTACGCTCCCAGTGCCATCCTTGATTTGAAATTCGATTTGAGGCATCCAGCCATCCGACCAGCCAGCCACATCGGCCTGTTTAATCAATGGCAGGCCAAGTGAATTTCAACGCATTTGCAATTGCATTTGCTGCAAATCAACGCTAATGAAATTATACAAACAAGTTTCAGTACGCTACGGTTCGGTACGGTTCGGTTCGCGTCTCAGTCAATATTTGTGCTGTGTCCACATTCGCAATTTGCATGTTTTGAAAACTTAATTGAATTGCAATTCCCACAAATAAAGCTTAATTTTTTGGTCGCGCTTTTCGTTTTCGGTTTTTCCACTCCTGTTGTCCATTGGACAACTCATTGCAACTCAAAACAATTTGCTTTTTTGGCCAAAAACTAAAACTTTTGTCTGAGAAATGCAATTAAAAACGGGTAATTCCATTTATTAATGCTTGATATGCAAATTGATTGCACACAAAATGTTCAATTAATATGAAAATGTTTGTTAGAAAATTAATGCAATTTTTCCCAGAATGGCAATAATTATTCCCCGATGCTGGTCGAGCGGTTATTCATGATTGTGGTGCCAGTGACGGTAATGGTGCCGGTGATGGGGCACAAATTAGATGAAAATGAAACACTAAAATGCAAATAATATGCACCTAATTAGCTATAAAATCTATTTTACCTCAATGTTGGAAAACTATATATTTTTTGGGGTAAATTCTACTTAAATAAAAGGCTTAGTGGGCTGCCAAATAAATTGAAAAGGCTCCCTTAGTTATGAGTATATTTTAAAAAATTCAAATACTTTAAACTCTAGCCTCAAATACTAAGACACCCTTCTAGTCTCTTCATCCTTAGATATCCTGATTGAATCTTCGTCTTAACCGAATCAGTCGCACAAAAACAAACATATCAATCAACATGTTTAATTGAATGTAATTAAAATAAAACAGCCAGTCTGGCAAAATCAACTGCTCTAGTAGCTGAATAAAAGCCAAAGAAAAGCAAACGCCCACCCACCGGCCCTCAGAAGTGGCCCAGGAGTTTGTTCTTCAGTGAAAATGGCAAGAAAATGAAATTAGACGAATAGAATGACGATGTAAGTGCCATGAAAAGACGTTAAGGCGCTCTAAGCCAAGATGCCGGGAAAGACGGCAACGGCAGCGGCGGCGATATGAGGCCAAGAAGGAGGAGACCTGGCTGCTGCTAAAATTGAGGCAAATTGCATTTAAGTGTTGCCGTTTTCATTTAGCCGCATGAATATGTATAGAAGAAGGCTTCCAAAAGAGGCGGTCGGAGGCGGAGGCGGAGACGTAGTGCTGGCTTGGTGGCCAAGAGCTACGAGCCAGGTCTGGGAACTTTGTTGCCTTGCTTTTGTGGCATGCAAAATTGAATGAATAATTGAGGAAACGAGCGCATGATGGCATTAGTGTGTGATTGTGTGTGCCAGTGTTAGTAAGTGTCAGTGTGTGTGTGTAAGTGTGTTTGCAGCTAATGAATTTTAATTGCTTTTATTAAGGCACAAAGAGGCCGGCTTGGCCGCTGAGCTGTCTGCATCCAGTGTCCTGTGTCTGCATCAAAAATCCCTGTTCAATGTTAATTGTTAATCATTAAATATTGTTGCCGGCAAAATCAATATGGCGGCTGACGATTAATCAACGCCATTTTGTAATTATCCCGCTGAAATATTTAATTCAATTAACTTTGCGGACGAACAAACTCGCCATCCCTGCCGAGTTGTCGGCCTTCTTTCCTGGCAATGAAAACAAATAAATGTAATTGAAAATTGTTATTGGACAGTAACCGCACTAAAAGCCGTAAAAAAAGAGACCACCGCAACAAAAAAATGAATGGATAATAAATAATAAAAAAGGAAAACACTATAAAAAGATCCACACAGACTGCAGAGGCTGAAAGCGGGGTGGAGCTTGCCCACATGGAAATTAATTCGAATGGAAAACTCGGTCCTTGCCATGTCCTTTGGTCGCGCCCACCCTCTCCTCTTCATGTCTCTGTCGCTCAGCCCTTTGGCGCACTTCCTTTTTCAATTAAACGCCACCATTTTCCATTAACGAATTTGCATGTGTATGTCGGTGTGAGGGCCACACATACATGCAAGACTTCCGCTTCTCTCCCTTCGATGCTCACACATACCAGCGAACACGTACGTGTCTGTATTTCTATAATAAAATTAAATTAGAAGACCAGAAAATTAAATCATCAAAGCTTGACGTCTGCCGGCAGCGACGGCTGCTGTTTCTGCCGGGTGTATGTGTGTGTGTGTGTGTGGACTGTGAGTGAGTGTGACTGCCACACACACACAAACACCCATACACTCACGTAGCCCAATTTGCAAAAGCGACAGTTACGAGTTCATTAATTTTTCTTCTTTCCCTCGGACCCACTTCTCCACCCATTTAGCCTTGTTCCGTGCGGTTTCTGGCTCCCACCCACCCATTCGTCGCCCCATTCTCCCACACTCGCCCTCTCTTTCCCTCGTTCTGGCCTCATTCCGTCTCTTTCGGGGCTGCTCGCTTCGGCAATGGTGTGAGCAGCATCATAAATTAAATTCTTCATCAACTCAAACTCGTTAAGCGCCAATAAAGTGACAGAGAGTTATTTTCATCACTTTTTCAATGCTGGTCTACCACAAGGCGGCGTGTGTGTGTGCCAGATGGCGAGTGTATGCGTGTGGGCTATGCAGTGCGCCGAAGCGCTCTCTCCCACCCACACACGCAAACGAGAGAGAGCGACTGGTTTAGGCCCCGCCCTCGAAAAGGCTGCAGTGCTGGGAGGGTGGAGGGAGAAGACACTGTCCATTAAACTGGTTCGCTTTTATTTTTTTGAGACATTCACGCATGCGCAGAACGATTTAGATTTCGAAGGCTGCTCTTCCCGATAAGGGGATTCGGCTAAGTGCAGCCCCGACCACGGACACATCTGTCTGTCTGCCCGTCAGACGGCATCAGGCATCAGGCCTCTCGTCCCTCTCCGCCAGCCTGTCAATTATATGGCACCCCATACCACTGGGCATACTGGGCGTATGCTTAATCTGAGCAAAAAGATTATTTCTCTTTCCTGAGTTCCGAGCGACCGCCGTTAACTGCTTAACGATAAAAGCAAACTAATTAAAGCCAAAGGAGGAGAAATTGCCACATAATAGAGCAAATTAAAAGCAAATTAATTTAAAACAAAAAGCACAGAGCGTGGCTGGGAAGTTGAGTTAACGGTGCGGATGTGCCGTAAATGAAAACGACGCGAGGATAACACCCACACTCATGAGATGCCAGGATAAGTGGAAGCACACAAACACACACAGACATAAACAACCGGAGACAGAAACAGTCGCTGAGCAGACGGAGATAACCGAGTCAGATGGTCCGTCCGTCGCTCCACTTCAATTAAGCAGCGCGCCAACATGGCAGCCTCTCACAGATACACCCAGCCACCCACCCAACCACACTCACTACAATTGGGGAGAGCATAAGAGCCAGACACACACACATACACACATACACACTCGGAACCATTCGAAGGACGTAATTACGTTTGGCAAGCTCGTTATGCGTAAGAATAAACGCGCATTAAGAGCTCATTAGTTGGCACAAATCGAATCGGAGTGGACGGAAGGGGGCGTTTGGGCCATCTAAGGCATTGGTGTGGGTACACTCGTATGTGTGTGGCTATCTGGCATTTTCATTTAACGTGTAATGGGAGATAGCGTAAACGAGTAAATTGAACCGAAGCCAAGAAGAAACTGAATGAACTGGACTGAACCAAAATTAAGTAGTGGAGATGGCTGGAAAAACCGCAACTCATGACAACAGGTAAGCTCCAAATTGCCGGCTAAAATTTAGTGTTAATGGTATTGGCCAGGCTTAATGGCTGGCCGGGCTAACTGACTGGGCAGCCTCCGCTGCCTGCTACCCTGCTGACAATCAAATGTCGGCGTTGGGGTTCCATTCATCGAACGACCGATGCCTTCTCCTTAGATTATAATGATAGCGCAGGTTAGACAGGTTCGACCAGTTTATTTTTATATCGATTAAAAGTTGAAATAGTGGAGACATAATAGTAATATTTTTTAAGGCTTAAAATCTAAGCTTGAGATCTTCATAAAAATATATCCACTTTCTAAAAGCTTAAATGGGGTATAGAGTTCTTGAAAGATACATTACTTTTTCCTTAATTTTTATTTTATATATTAAAAAGGCTATAGATTATAATCTACTATATTATAATCCATAGGTTTCAATTTCATAAATATCAAAAAATATTTACCGAAAATAAG